TTTAGACGTTTCCAACCCCGATGCTTTCGCTTTCTTGACGTTGAGGTTGGTCATGTCATGATTGTCATCTATAATTCAAAGCTAAAGTTAAGGTCGGGTTCATCGGGTTGGTCGGGTTTTTTTGGGCCTGACCCGATGTCAACCCAATAAGGTCGGGTTGGCTAATTTTTTTATCGATTATGCATCGGGTTACCTCGGGTTGGGTGTTTTTTTAAAAATTCGGGTTGGGTTGGTCGGGTTCATCGGGTTTTTGAGCACCCCTAGTTCATACACATAAACTAAGGCATTCCATCAAGAAAACTCCTAGAGAAGTAAATATATCACAAAAATGGACACAAGGATCTATGAGAGTAACAAAATACAAGATTGTGGAAGTAAACCAACCTACGAAATGTCCACGCAGCTCTTGATCTGGGGACTCCCAACCTCCATAAGCTATGCCAATGGTTGGCAAACCAGCCGTGTACCTAAAGCTCCAAACCAATCTATCAACATCCAACATCAAAAGGTATTTCAAATTTGTTTGTTGAGCTTCACCATGAATTGAATTTGGATCCAATCTCACATCACCCAAAGGCAATTCACTCAAGAAATCCCCAGAAAATTGAGACCCACCATTGACATTCTTCATCTTCCTATACATCATCTGCCAAGTGAATTCATCTTCGTTCATAATCTTCCTAGGTAGCAAACTGGCCCACACAGAATCATCGGTGGGAGTCAAATGGTGATGAGAATGCACCTCTTCTTTCCAAGTCTTGTTATTCGAATTCAATAAGCCGTATCGGAAAGTATGTGATGAAAGCTGAGTAGGACTATTAGTACACTCCTTACCCATTACACAATGCAAAACCAGTAACACAACAGCCAGCACCTCCAAGAACATTGAACACCTCATTTCTCCTAGAAATTTGAAAATTCCAGTACCTTCTCATCAAGAGCAAAAAAACCAATGAGATCGATTGGAATAACAAAAGAAATCCCAAATTTATAGAGGATAATCAATGAGAGACCGAAATCAAGCCTCGTGAAAGCAAGAAAACTGGCTATTTACAGCAAGGATGGAGACATTTTGACTGTAAAGTGTGAATTAGAAGATATTATGAAATCAGTGAACACCTAACGACCCAATTGAATGTCCAAAAAAGGCCAAACTACGCCGATTACTTAAATGCAGGTGAAAATAAACATCCAAATTAGTAAATCGGAATAATTAACATACACCTAACCCGAAGGCAGCAATCAATCATTTAAAAATGAAATTCCCACAAGAATTAAGATTTACATGCACACTGACACACATGTGGATGCATAGTGCAGAATAAATCACGGACCGGTGTCGTAATCTGTGAGAATTTGTTTGCTTATTGGAGTTGATCGAGTTCAACATTATCCGCTCAAAGTCAATGCGTGTAAGAGATAGGAGATGATGGAGCTTCGGGTTTCCATTTTCGGATTCGAATATGAAATTTGTAGCAAATTGGTGGGGGTTTTATATTGAAATTGCATCGATTTGATTTTCCCGGCCTTTTCGTCCGGTGGTGGTTTGTCGACGTGGACTCCTCCATATTCTGTAATAAGTCAATATCCGCCATTGATGATTAAAAAAGTGACGCTTTTGGCCTTTTCTCCCTCCAAATTTATGTTCATAGTTTTATATCCACAAAAAATTCAAAATAAAATTTAAGAAGTTGAGGATTTAATCCTCTAAAATATTAATTTTGGTTGTTCATTTTTATTTTTATACTTTTATAATTAATTTTTTTATTTTTGTAACAATAATTGAGAAAACTGAATTATCATTATTGTTATGGTAATAGGAACTAATGAGCCGTTTATTAAACGTTTAGCCGGTAAGTATTTACTGAGCAAATTTCTTCACCGAATGAACATGACAAGGGACAAGAATCTTACCCGGTAAGAGCGATAATATGGATGGAGAGTCTTAACCGGTAAGTAAGGCTGACGACTCTTACCCGGGTAAGCGCTTACCAGATAAATTGTTGCATAAATACATTTTAATGTATTATAATTTTACCTAGTAAAATAAATTATAGTGTTGACTCCCAATGGTAAACGCTTACCGGGTAAGCATTTAGGTAAGCGCCCCCTTATATTATATTTACAATTTAATACTGACGTTTACAAATTTTAAAAATTGATTTCTTTTTCATCAAATCGTGTATTCTATTCAAGTTAATTACATTTTTAGTATTTGTATAAAACTAAACAAAAAGAACAAGAAGATTATCATACAAACTTTACTTTTCTATTTTTTAGGATCGTTAAGGGTCACGACCAATTCATTCTCATGTAACAAAATGTAGCATATATTTCAAACCGAACTTTCACTCTTCCTATTCTTGGGTCATCACCAATTCATTCTCGCAAATTATACTATTTTATTTTTCATATACCGATAAATTATCATAAATTTCTCAAGTTCAAATCCAATGAGAAATAAAAATCCCCTAGTGGCCACGTAGATTCAAATGCGATGACTCCGGACTATCTGCAAAGCAGGTGGTCGCCCTGGAATTAATCGACTTGCATAGCGGGTTGGATATCCAGGTTAATAAAAAAATATATCATAAATTTTATTATTTTATTTTCGTATATTGATAAATTCTTACAAATGACAGCATCTCATTTTCTACAGTGTTTTATTAATAGCCCTAGAAAAACAAAATACTGCGTTTCAAGGATGAATTGGTAGACTTGCTGTAAGTTTTCACGGAAACGATCTTTATATTACTTGTATTGAGGAAATATGTTTGTACATCTTATGTCTGTATCCTACCTTTGCTTGAGATCTATCCGACTTGTTTGATTTTGTTGTTTTTATCGTTCTAGTTGTATTAATCTGAAATAGGAAACAAGCATTGCGATGGACTTTCCGTTTATTATCTTCAGTTACGTGTGGTTTTCAAGTTATTTAATTAGTGATAGCATCTTCACGTCCTATCATTTTGACAATTCAATAGTTTTTGAATTTGTTTGGTTATAACTATTTAGTGGGAAAATTATGTAGATTACTAATGTAAACATAAAAGTAAGACCCCTCGACGTATATAATTGGGATTGAAGTGTCTAAACTTACTTATAGACTGATTAGTATTTATCATGATTTTCTTTAGGATCTTGTTCACACGTCTATCTTTATGCATACGCAGTATTGGCATTTATATCTCATGCTTGGTTCAAAACCTAGTTAGTGCATGTACTTTTTATGTATCTTTTGATATTGCTTAGTATATAGATGATTAAAAATCGGATACGAGCCGAATAATCGGTCCAGATCGTCCCCGGTCCTTGGAAGTTGGTTCGTAACCGACTGGTTACTCGGAGTCCCCACCGAAAATTATAAGAATAATTCTAGGCCCAACGCTTGGTCTGGTTTTTTTTAATTATTTTTTTTCAAGAGAAAAATTTACAAAAATGTTATAAAAGTTGAATATTGAAATACGCTTTAAATACTAAATTTACATTATAATAAACTCGAAAAGATCTTCAACAACGATCACTTATAATTTGTAAAACTTTAAAAAAAATATTGAATAATCAATTCGTAGAGATAATCGATGTTGGTTGCTAGCCAATCCCAATTAATCTTAGGCATGATCTTGAATTTCTAGAAAAATCGTTAACGGGTCGGGACAATCGACCCGAGCTGGTTCCATTGTCAGACCAGGTCGTGTTTATTCATCTCAGATTTAATAATTATGTATTTATCATGTATTCTTTATGATATATGTAAATTGATAAATACTTATCTTTTAACGAAAACATAAGTATTTTATTTAGAGATATTGTGTTATGTTTAATAATTAGAGTGTCATTTTATTAAAATATAATATTTTTTGCTTTAACTAAAACCTTTATATATATAATTTGAGGATATCGATTTCCAATAATAAGTTTTTGAAGCTTTAAGTATAAAAAATAAAAGATAAATAAAAAACAGTACAATATTTGGGATGTAAATCAGGGAACCCATCGAAATACAATAAAATTTAGGCGCCATTTATCCAAATGTTTACCCGGTAAATGACTACCGATACGATTCAACATTATAATTTGTTTTTATACATAAGATTTTAGTACATCAAAACATATCGAATGCAACAAGTTATTGGGTAAGTGCTTACCTGGGTAAGAGTCGCCATCTTTGCTTACCGGGTATGACTCTCTATTCTTTTCATTGTTTTTACCCGGTAAGATTCTTAGCCCTTCTCACGTTCATCCGATAAGGAAATTTATCCGGGAAACACTGACCAAACAAGTGTTTAGTAAACATCCTCTTAGTTTACTTTTTTATTTAGTGTAATGGTTATTTTTCTATCGATATAACAAAGTTCCAAACTTTTATATTGTGCACCTATTTTAACTGTAACATACCAATCTTCTAAAATTTAATAACGTGGATAGTCATGTACTAAATGTACATCAAGATGGGAATGGGGCATTGATAGAGGAGAAAGGCCTCGCCACTGTGAGCGGTATGCGGGCCTGCTAGGTGATTGAAATCGCTCAGAGAAGCTCGTCTAAAAAGCACCCTCCATCCACTTCCCCCTTTCCGTGTGTCCGAAAGCTTGCCGCCCGATTTACATACACTCTTTTTTATGTTAATATCACGTTAAATCATATATTAAGAATATCTGATTTTAATTTATGAATTAAAAACAGAGATCAAGTAATAGTTGAAGCCTGAAGGATTAAACTTGGGCCTTCTATTGACCCGATATTACAAAGCCCAAACAACCCAGAAAACAGAAATATTATGCAACATTGCAACCCAATTAACACTTGCTAGTTTGCAATTGCATGATTGCATCTACTCCTTTTTTGATCATTTCTTTATATTTTTCTTTTTTTCTTTAATGATTTTTATATTATTTTTATTTTATATATTTTCTTTGAAATTATACACATCAATACTATCTTATAAACCAGATTCATCAAAAGTATTAAAAACAATTTTTAATGCACAAAGTATTATACATTTATACACAAAGTCTTAAAAATAACTCATAATGCATTAAGTACTACTACTTTATGCATTCGATCTTAAAATATCTTAATCTACAATTAAAATAACATATAGTACAAGTTACCAATGTACATTATTACTTTTTCATTTCATATATCCCTATTGAATTGGATATGGCAAAAGACAACAATGACAAAGACCGTGAACTGAAGAAGAGGATTGAAAACTACGATTATATGTCTTGTGCAATTCGTGAATTCTATGCTTCTTTCTGCAATATTATCAAGTTTTTAGTTCGTGACTACCGTGAGAAGGAGTAAGTTCACTGTGGTTTGTAGTAGAGAAGAATATATTTTTGTTAAACAAGATTTCTATTTTCTTTTTCATTTATATGTAGCACAACTTGGTTTTTCTTTTCAGGGTTATCAACTATATATTTTTGCAAGCTGACAAACATATTGAAGAAGGCAATCTAGTGAGTGAATTCAAAATGAGTGCTCTCCCTATCCTCTATGACCACATTGCGAAGCTTATCAAGTTCTTGGTATGTACTTCAGTAGCTTTTTGAAATGACTTTCTATGCACTTTAAGCAGCTTATAGGGATATGCTAATGCAATATGGTTTGCTATTAGCAGTTAACAAATAAGCAGGAGGATCGAGATGAAGTTGTAATCCTTTTCCAGGATATGCACGAAGTTGCAACGAGAGACATAATGGAGGATCAATTACCCAAGTAAAGTGTTACCTTTAATTAACGCCTACTTCACCTTGTACTGATTCTTTAACATTGTGTGTTGTTTCTTTTTATAGTTTGGATGGGTCAGGTTATGATAAGACCATTAGATCAACAATACCATTAGCACCCAAAGTTCGCAATATGCTTTTGTTCTTGCAAGTATTTTTGATGGGTCATTTGCTGATAACCTACATATTTCTGAGCTGCTTTTTGCAAGGATAGTCATTTCACGCTCTTAAGCTGTTTAGAGCGCTTCTATAGTGCTTTAGGTTGTACATAGCCGTTAGAGTTGATGCCAATTGTCTTCTAACTTGATCTATTAAATTGTTCTCTAATAGGATTTGGCTATCCATAGTTTCTGTCATGGAGGTTGATTCACTAACTCGTGGGTACGGGTTCTGTGATACTGAAGCATGAAGTCGTTGGTTTGTAAAAAAATGTTTTCTATAAAACAAGTTAGTTTTTCTGATATCTAGGCCATTATACCTTGTCGTGTACATACACACAAATTTGGAGAACTTAAAAATGATTACTTATGAATGAGAAATTATTTTTATTCATCCAACAACTAAGATCCCTTAAAATTAAATGTATAGGGGAGAGAAATAATGTTTTATAATAATGTATTTAATATTTTAAGAATGTTTTATTCATACCGTAATCTACAAAATGGGGAAGTTGTTGGAAATGAACATAAATTTTTCATTTTTGGAGAGTCTGTTGGAGATGCTCTAAACTGCTTTTGTTCTTTATAAATTACCATCACGTGTTGTTGTAATATAAATACCATAATCTATATATATCTATA